TATGTGGAGGTTCTGGGCTGGTGTGGTCTGCGGTTGGGAGGCCAGTTGGATGTACTGCAAAATTCTCTGAAATGCCTTTGGAGACGGCTTATGGTAGAGAAATGAACAGTCAATGCACCGGCAGGAGCTCTGGTGGACATTCCTGCTGTCAGCATGCCAATTGCACGCTCCTTTAAAACTTGCAACATCTGTGGCATTGTGCTGTGTGATAAAACTGCACATTTTAGAGTGGTCTTTTATTGTGGTCAGCCTAAGGCACACCTGTGCAATAATCATGCTTAGAATGGCCAGAATTAACGTACCTGAGAATAGTCAAAATACTTGCTGAGGTGAGGGACACAGAAAGAGACACAACGATGAGGAAAGACAGAAGTCAAGAATACCAGAAATCAGGGAAGTCAAAATGAAGCCAAAGTCAAAATACCAGAAAAACGCAATCAGGAACACACTCCCAGATAACCAGCTAGTGGAAACCATGACAGGGCACTAACAAAAAGGTAATTTGGGTTTAAATAACTCTCCTTAAGCTGTCTTATACCTCTGACTCCAAAACATCCATGCGTGTCTATGACATGACGTCGCACGCACGTTGGCGCCATCATTGATGTGGGCGGAGGTAAGTCTCTTATTAAAACCAGAACTGCAGTATCCAGCGTCTCTAGGAACGCCGTACTTGCAGGGCACCGGGATAGAAGGAGGTCTGGCAGCTGTTTGCCGCGACCAAGGTAAGTATATGATTTTTCTGTCGGCATAGCCTCTATGTTTCAGTGTGGCCACGCCGACATAATCACAGGGAGCCATGACATGGACTTCCCTTTGAATTCATGCTGAGGCACGTATAATGAAAATATGGAGGACGCCAAGCGGAAGTACGTCAGAGGAAGTTCCTGAGACACCATTTTGGATGTTGGCAGAAGCGCATTATAGGAAACTGAGCGCTCCGTCATATTTCACATACCGATATTATGTGGGACTGACTATGGTCCCAGCCGGAAGTTTCGTCATGTTAGAGGTGGCGGAATGTACATACAGCACGGACCATATATGGGAAAGATGGGAGGGCTCTTTTTCACATGTGTACAAAGTTCAGAGGTAATTTAGAGGGATATAAATGTTCAAATAGAACTGTGGGATAGTATTACACCTGATGAAGACTCCATTAGAGATCGAAAAGCGTTGTGTTGCACAAGGACTTTCTGGCTGAAGACTGTGCTTCCATGTAAGATTTTACTTATTTATGGTTTAATAAACTACATGCTTGAATTTAATCTGGGGCCTTTCCATTTGCATTTGTTTAGAGAGAGGTCATCTGCCAGTTTGGCGATTTTAAAAAACCATCACCACTTCATAAGCATTTTTACTTGAGCCAGTCCATACAGGCTCTAATAAATGTGAGTGGGATGTGAATATATCTCCTTATAATATTTATAAAATATTATTTTTTCTTTGACTGTACTACTCTATATCAAGTTTATTTATTCCTTGAGCCATTTGTGGAAAACTAAACCTGATTAGGTATCAATACCAGGGCCGTCTTTAATAATGATTGAACCCTGAGCAAGCATTTGCTATGGCCCCCATAGACCGTGCCCCCCAATCCTTTACATGCAATCACGTCCTCCCCCCCAACGCAGTGGATCTATAAAGATCCCTGGTGCAATAATTTTATTTGGCCCAACAATTGCAAGGTTGGACAAAAGATATAACCCTATCTGTCATGCAACTCTAACAATGCATTGACAGGTGGGGTTCTAACAATTTCTCATGCTTGCAGGGTTGCATTTTGCACTGTTTGTATGTAAGCATGTTTTTGTATGAAGCATGTTTGTTTGAATGTGTTTGTATGTGGTGTTGGAGTTTGGATTCAAGCGTTCATTTATGTGAAGTGTTGTTTTTTGAATGTGTGTTTATATATAATTTTGGTGCTCAGACACACTGAGACACATGCAAATACACAGATAGACACACTGACTAATTACAGATACACAGACACATACAGATTCACAGACATATAAACTAAGTGACATACTGACACACACAAATACATACATTGACAGACATAATGACACACACACATACACTGATAGACATACTGATGCGCATACAACGACAGACATACTGACACACACAGACTACATACAGATACACATGGGCGTAGGAACCAGGGGAGATGGGGGGGATGCATCCCCCCCAGCAAATCATGCAGGGGGGACACATCCCCCCCAGCAAATCATGCGGGGGGGACAGGTTATGGAGAAATCCCCCCCAGCTCCGCCGGCCCCCTCATGCTGCAGCCGCCCGAGAGCTCTGTAGAGAGCCTCAGGCGGCTGCAGCTTTGCCCGGGCTAATGCGTCCAGGAGGGCGCACAGCCCAGGTGCAGCATGAGGAGAGGGGCATGAATGCCGCCCTATGAAGTATCTGCGCATGTGCGGCAAAGCTGAATAGAAGCGCTTTATTGCTCCCTGCTTTTGACGTCATTTTGACTAAATAGGGGGCGCGGCATCAGGAGGATCCCGGTGCTGTATCCAGGTAAGTAAAATCCCTTCCTTGTAGTGACCCTTTAATGTTATTATTTAATCATTTATATAGCAACTGCAAATTCCGTAGCGCTGTACAATGGGATAAACAACTCCTAGTTTACGGAATAAGAATATACGCGGCGAGTAAAAATGCTATCCCCCCCAGATTTTTTTGGGTTCCTTCACCCATGGAGGGTAGCGGGGCCCACAGGGCAGCTTCCATGGGCCCCCCAGGAGTAAATGGGCCCGGGCAGCTGCTCCGTGATAAAGACGGCCCTGATCAATACTTTTATTATTTACTCTGCACTTGCACTCTTGTTAAGATTGCATGTAGAGTGCGCCATCCAATTGCTATATAAATTATTAAATAATAACATTAAAGGGTCACTACAGGGAAGGGTTTTTACTTACCCGGATACAGCGCTGGGATCCTCCTGATGCCGCGCCCCCTATTTCGTCTGCTGAGGAATACCTCTAGTGGGTAGTCACATGACACCCGGCCAGTGCCGGTGCAAGGATTTTTGCCAACCTAGGCAATATTAAAGTTTGCTGCCCCCTCCCCATGTGACATTACAATGCTCCACCCATATGATCTGCCATGTTACCTAACGCCAGTGCTAGAGTGCCGCCGTGTTTACATTAAAAGGCCTGCAGGGACAGGCTATAGACACCATTAAGCTGCAGTGGTTCTGGGAACTATAGTGTTTCTTTAATGTGAGGTAAATTAGAGATTAGTGCCACGAATAATATGCTAGATTGCCTACTTACAACCAGATGAGGATGATGATGGGCTCTAGCTGCAGTCTGGCTCCACTGGTCTGGTGTAGAACAGGCTCTCTGGAGGCTGTTTGTAACTGTGGTCACAAAAATCAATGTTCTGGGAGAAAGGGAAGCAGCTCCATTTTTTGGGGGACCTTTACACAGCTCAAGGTCTGGGTCCCAGGGTCCACCTTCATGTTCCACCAATTGTTCACAGGGGGTGGAGTCAGTGGCGGATCCAGAGCCTGATCTCGGGAGGGGCACTTGTAGATTATTTAAAGAAATAATCCAGACACAATAACCACTACAGCTCAGTGTAGTGGTTATGGTGTCAATAGTGCCGGGACCCCCTCCCACAGTAAGTAGTCAAACCATTTAAGAACAGTTTGACAACTTACCTGAGATCTGCTGGGAATGGGGCTGTAGTAGGGCATAGGAGCAGTGGTGTGTGTGAGTGGTGCAATGTGTAAGGGGTGCAGTGTGTGTGTGTGTGAAGGTTGTAGTGTGTGAGTGAGGGTGGCAGTGTATGTCAGGGATGCAGTGTATGTGTGGGACAGTATGTGTGTGTAACAGTTGCAGTGTGTGTGTATGGGGGGCAGTATGTGTGTATGGGGGAGCAGCGTGTGTTTGTGTGTATAGGGGCAGTGTGTGTGTGTATGGGGGGCAGTGTGTGTATGTGGGGGCATTTTGTGTGTATGAGGGGCATTTTGTGTGTATAGGGGGCAGTTTGTGTGTATGGCGGGCAGTGTGTGTGTATGGGGGCGGTGTATGTGTGTGTATGGGGGCAGTGTGTGTATGTGGGGATGTGTGTATGTGGGGCGGTATGTGTGTATGTGGACGGTGTGTGTGTGTGGGGGGGAGTATGTGTGTGTGATGTGTGTGTATGGGGGCAGTATGTGTGTGTATGGGGGCAGTATGTGTGTATGGGGGCAGTATGTGTGTGTATGGGGGGGTGGTATATGTGTGTATAGGGGCAGTTTTGTGAATGGGGTTTGTGTGGGGGCAGTTTGTGTGGATGGGGGCAGTTTGTGTGTATGGGGGCAGTGTGTGTGTATGTATGTGTGTGTATGGCAGTGTGTGTGTGTATGGGGGCAGTATCTGTGTATGGGGAGACAGTGTGTGTATGTGGGGGCGTGCGTGTGTATGGGGGCATTTTGTGTGTATAGGGGGGGTTTGTGTGTATAGGTGGCGGTTGTGTGTGTATGGGGGGCGGTGTGTGTGTGTGTATGGGGGGTGTGTGTGTGGGGATGTGTGTATGTGGGGCAGTATGTGTGTATGTGGGGACTGTATGTGTGTGTATGGGGGCAGTGTGTGTGTGTGTATGGGGGCGTGTGTGTGTATGGGGGCGGTGTGTGTATGTTGGGGTGGTGTGTGTGTATGGGGGGGTATGTGTGTATGGGGCGGTGTGTGTGTATGTGGGGACGGTATGTGTGTGTATGGGGGCAGTGGTGTGTGTGTATGGGGGTAGTGTGTGTGTATGGGGGACAGTGTGTGTGTATGGGGGCAGTATGTGTGTGTATGGGGGCAGTATGTGTGTATGGGGGGCAGTATGTGTGTATGGGGGCAGTTTGTGTGAATGGGGGGGCAGTATTGGGGGCAATGTGTGTGTGTGTGGCTTTTTTTTTTTTTATAATATATATTTTTTTAATTTAATTTAAATAAATATGCTATGTCCCCCTTCCCTTCTTACCTTTACTGGGGAGGAGGGGGGACATATTTCGATCCCTGGTGGTCCGGTGGGGGATTCATTGGTGGTCAGGTGGTGAGAGTGAACTCTAGCCCGCGCTCCAGGGCTAGAGTTCACTCTCGCGAGATTTGGAGCGTTGCCGTGGTAACCGCGGCAACGCTTCAAATCTCGCGAGAGGAGGACCCGGAGGAGCTGCAGCCTGAGCTCCCGGGTCCTCTCTCCCTCCCTCTCCCTCCCCTGCCGGCTGTAAGCACAGTGCCTGCGGACCGGGGAGGAAGATCTCTGCATGTGCTGCTGGCAGGAGAGGGAGACAGGCAGATTTCTCGGGGGGGGGGCAATTGCCTCATTGCCCCCCCCCCTGGATCCGCCACTGGGTGGAGTGTGTAGGGGATGTCCTGATATGTGTGTAAGGAATGCATTGTGTGAATCTGTGTTTGTATGTGTAAGGGCTGCAAGGTGTGTTTCTGTGTATGTACGGGATGCGGTGTGTGCGTGTGTAAGGGGTGCATTGAGTGTGTGTAAGGGGTGCATTGAGTGTGTGTAAGGAATGCATTGTGTGTGTAAGGGATGCATTGTGTGTAAGGGTTGCATTGCTTGTGTGTGTGTCTAATTCATTGTGTGTGTAATACATTGTGTGTTTTTCTGTGTGCAAGGGATGCATTGTGTGACTCTGTGTTTGTATGTGTAAGGGCTGCAAGGTGTGTTTCTGTGTATGTACGGGATGCGGTGTGTGCGTGTGTAAGGGGTGCATTGAGTGTGTGTAAGGGGTGCATTGAGTGTGTGTAAGGAATGCATTGTGTGTGTAAGGGATGCATTGTGTGTAAGGGTTGCATTGCTTGTGTGTGTGTGTCTAATTCATTGTGTGTGTAATACATTGTGTGTTTTTCTGTGTGCAAGGGATGCATTGTCTTTGTGTGTAAGGGGTGCATTGTGTGTGATTGTGTATGTGTGATGGATGTCAATCTCTCCCCCTCCCTCACTTGTCACTCTCTTCTCCTCCCTCTCCCTCTCTTGTCACATTCTTCTCCCCCCTTCCTCCCTTGTCACATTCTTCTCCTCCCCTCCCTTGTCACTCTCTTCTCCCCCTCCCTTGTCACTCTCTTCTACCCCCTCCCTTGTCACTCTCTTCTCCCCCCGTTGTCACTCTCTTCTCCCCCCCCTCACTCTCATTCCCCGTCCCTCCCCTGTCAATTCCCCTCCCTGTCAATTTCTTCCTCCCCCCATCCTTTTCAATTTCTTCCTCGCACCTCCATCCCTGTCAATTTCTTTCTCCCACCCCGTCAATTTCTTCCTCCCCCGTCAATTTCTTCCTCCCTCCCTTCAATTTCTTCCACCCCTCCCTCCCCCCTGTCAATTTCTTCCTCCCCCCTTCATTTATTCCTCCTTTAGTTTCTTCCTCCCCCTCCCTCCCCCCTGTCAATTTCTTCCTCCCCTCATTTCTTCCTCCTCCTCCCTCTCCTGTCAATTCCCTCCCTGTCAATTTCTTCCTCCCCCATCCTTGTCAATTTCTTCCTCCCACCTCCATCCCTGTCAGTTTCTTTCTCCCACCCTGTCAATTTCTTCCTCCCGTCAATTTCTTCCTCCCCTCCCTTCAATTTCTTCCACCCCTCCCTCCCCTGTCAATTTCTTCCTCCTTCTATTCCTCCCCCTTCAGTTTCTTCCTCCCCCCTCCCTCCCCCTGTCAATTTCTTCCTCCCCTTCAATTTCTTCCTCCTCCTCCCTCCCCGTCCTTTCTTCCTCCCCTTCAGTTTCTTCCTCCCTTCCCTCCCCTGTCCAGTTTCTTCCTCCTTCCCTCCCCCTGTCAATTTCTTCCTCCCCCCTTCAATTTCTTCATCCCACTCCCTCCCCCTGTCAATTTCTTCCTCCCACCTTCAATTTCTTCTTCCTTCCCCTCCCTCCATCCCCTGTCAATTTCTTCCTCCCCCCACCCTCCCCTACCTCTGTTGTAGCGTGGCCGAGCCCTGTATGGTCCGCGGGTACAGGGAGCTTTTGTTTCCTGTACCTGGTCGGACTAAAAGGAAGTGCACACTGACTATATATGCTCCCTGTACCCTCGGACCATACAGGGCTCGGCCACGCTACAGTGAGGGAGTGACAGGAGGGAGCGCTGAGCGCTTCCCTCCTGTCAGCCCCTCTCCTCATGCTGCACCCAGGCGGTGCGTCCTCCTGGACGCACCAGCCTGGGCAAAGCTGCAGAGCGCTCGGGCGGCTGCAGCATGAGGGGGGCCAGCGGAGCTGGGTGGGGATTTCTCCATAACCTGTCCCCCCCGCATGATTACCCTCAACAATTTATTTGGGCCCTGCACTCTAAGGAGCCCTGGTGGGAGAAAGTGACTGCCACAAGTCACTTCCTCCCACAAAGAGAGCAGCTGCGCAAGAAAGAGCAGGGAAGCCACCCTCCAGCAAAAGGTAGTAAACTGGAGGGTGGGTTTAAAAATGTTTTTACATGTGTGTCAGTATGTCTGTGTGTGTGTGTGTTTCAGTATGTCTCTGTATGTGTCAATATGTGTGTGTGTCAGTATGTGTGTGTGTTTCAGCATGTCTGTGTGTGTGTCAGTATGGCTCTGTGTGTATCAGTGTATGTATATGTGTGTGTGTGTGTGTGTGTGTGTGTGTGTGTGTGTGTCAGTATGTCTGTCAGTGTATGTACCTGTGTAGCCTGTGTATATGTCAGTATGTCTGTCAGTGTTTGTATCTATGTCTGTCAGTGAATGCACCTGTGTGTTTATCAGTACGTCTATTAGTGTTTGGGTCTGTGTGTGTCAGTATGTCTGTCAGTGTATGTGTGTGTGTCATAATGTCTGTCAATGTATGTATTTGTGTGTGTCAGTATGTCAGTCAGTTTATGTGTCTATGTATCTGTAAGTTGTTAGTGTGTGTCTGCACTATCCTTATCCAGAGAAAAATGAAAACCTGTTTTTATTAGGTGTCCACTAGTCACTATTTTAGGAGGTTCCCGTGTGATTATTGGGGAGACAGCAGGGTTGCAGTTTAAGGCAATAGTTGGCTCTTCCGCTGGTCAAAGCGCAGGAAACCTCCATAAGACAAAGAAGTCAATACTTAGTCTTGTATGTTAAAGAAAACTAGAGCAGACAGGAAGAAATAAAGAACAGATCCTTACAGAGGAAGAGAAGAGGAATTAATTAAAGAAAGGCAAGTTCGGCATGACAGCGCCGCTTTAAGTATCCATCTATTTGAGCTTGATTGGAGGGATTCCTCTAAGTGTAATGTAATAGTAGCATGACCTGACCAATTAATGTCCAAAACATAGCGTGGAATAGTATCTTCACCTGTCAAGAAGCTGTCTGTTTGGGAATACATGTTATAAGTAGTAGAATAGTAGGTGTAGTCTTTTCCCCCCCAACTTGAATCTAATTGTTTACTTTTATAATTCTTTGTAGAAACAAATAAAACAAATGTATTTGTGAGGGCTCCAATGAACTCAAAATCAGTTCCAGCCAAAAAGAGATCAAATAATCTCAAGTAAGTAATCACATATAAAAAATTACCACTTCGTAAGTTCTATAAATGTCTAATACTAAGTCAGTATATAAAAGGATAAGTATCTATTAATCTGTATGACAAAAGATACCGTGTAATAACTTAGATACTGGCAATGTGAGGTATAGGAATATCTTGCTAGGAGGTAAATGAAAAGAATACCCAGCTAGAATGTACAAACATATATATAGAATATACCAACAATGATATGTAAAAGACTTTTATTGGACAAAGAGGTAGAAAACAATATCTAAGGAATTCCAATTCCGGGAAAAATGTCTAAATATCTCCAATGAGTGGCCCCTTCATTGGAGAGGTATGGAATAGGTCACGGAACAAAATAAATTTGTAGGAACAAAAAAGTATATAAAAAATAATCATAATAATAATAATAAATATAATCAGCCTTTTAAGTACAGGGTGCCACAGTCACTATGCTGGTAATACTATAAATGGGGGGTTAAAAAGGAATAAAGTGATTAGACAAAAACAGCAAGATTTATTGATAAAAACATATAAACAATCTCAGCACAAAATATGTGCAATATATAAAGAATATAAAAGCCACAATAGGCTAAGGACCCATAAGTATAGCAGTTCAATATAACATGGTACTGTGCTAAGGCAAAAAGTGCAAATGCTAGAGTGCAAAGCAAACAATGTGAGAGAGCATAAAGCCAATCACTAATATAGGTGAACTACACTCAGCCAAACACAAATACTGCACAAGCAATATATGTAACCAGTGTACATGTAAATGAGAAACCGCTGATATCAAATTGCAGGGTCCCAGGTTGTGCTCAACGCGTTTCGTCTGTGCGACTTCCTCAGGAGCTTCTTCTTTCTTCCAATCTTCTCTCCTTTTTAAATCCGCCGGTCCTCTGGTCCGTCCAGCCACTTCAGTAATTGCGCATGGGCACGTCTCGTCACGCGCGTCGACATACGTCATGAGGCACGCGTGACCAATCCGCGCATGCGCGACCACGCTGGAATGCAAAAAAACTTTATTGGTCCTATACACATCCGCATTGTGAACGCCCTTCATCAAAAAGCATTCATACTTAATGCGGTCTGTGTGCACTGACCTACCTAACTCCCAGCTAACCCCTAACATCAATTACTATCAGCCTAGATATAAATATAAATAGGACTGGTGGGGTAAAAAATAAATGAAAAATAGGTAAGAGATAAATAAAAAAAAGTATTCAAATATAAATATAAAAATGTATAAATGAATATAACTGAATGAAGGAAAAAATGTTGTATGAAAATAAATCCATTTATATTTCAAATACACAATATAGGTATACATAAAGCCCATAAATTCATGGTTATCTATACATAATAGTAACAGTCTAACCATACATCAGTGGACTTGAGAGATATAAATATCAACAAAAGGGGTATATCAATCACAAAATCGAGTATAATACATATATATAGTTGCACAATAGCAAATTTGTAAATATGTAAGTTTCGAGGACCATAATGTGGTACATACTTGTAAACAAATGGTATTTAAAAATGGAGGCATAGAGCATCTAAATATTCATAAAAAATGCTTATAAATAACATATATTAAGAAATATATTAAAATTAACAGGAGGAAAAATCAATAAAAAACAATCCAGATAAAAGCTAAAATACAATAAAATAAAATAAAAAATAATAATAAGAGATAAAAAAGAGAAAGGGATTAGTATAAAGCCAATATATCCAAATCAGTTTTAAGTCCTGAGGGGACAGAGGA